TAAAATTTTATTACATATTGCATATACCTATTTCCCAGGTAGTAAAGTAGCCTGATCTATGACTGATAACGTTCGAGACGAAGTGATGGTATCAACTAAATGGGAGAACAAAGAAAAACGAGAATGGGGGAGGGGGGAAGAAAGGAAGGGGGTGACGGAACAGGTGAAACTTAGAAGTTTCAGTCCATTAAGTTGTGCACTAATTAACTGAGCATCACAACCGGACCTCATCAACACAGCGACTGCGACTCTTTTTTAAAGATCGAGGGAAAGAAAAAGGGGAAGAATGATGGAGAGAGAGAGAGAAAAGATTGTTGAGTTGGTAATCTCTTCAGAAAACAAAACAGGACTGCTAGCAGGCTGACCACCAGACGATGCAGCATTGGTTAAAAAGTAATTGGAGAAGCTACCAGCTGCAAAATTGGAGAACTATGCTATTAAATAAAGCTAATCAAATTATCGAAATATATACATGTATCTGAAAAAGTATTGCTGTAGCGACTATTACTTTGCGGACCAAATTTTGTTAGGGCGAAATTTTTGCCGATCCCTCTCGAAATGCTCCTTGAATGTAATTAATGAAACCCGTCGACCGCTTCGCAACTGAACTCCGACTATTGGTGATACGGAGAAAATGCGCTTCCGTCTCAGCACTACAGAATTCAGTGGTCGAGGTATGGAAGAGCGGCGACGAGGTCGACTGCTAGGACCCTCGGATGTTTCCGATGGCGTGTTACTGCTGCTCGTCGACTGAACTTTCTGGCTTGTTAAGCTTGGTGCTCTCTTTTTGTACTTCGGAATGTTGGATGGCCGACGATTTAGGGCTGGAGCGACCGATGATCGTCGCGCAGCAGCTTGAGTAGTATCTTTGAATTTTGCGAACGAAAATCGACGCCCGAAATCCGGTGCTCGTTGGATGGACTGCCTCCATTGTCCTTTTCCTGCTCCAGTGCCAGCTATACCAGGACTCGTTTGTAAACTAGGTCGACGACTTCGTGCCGCCGCTGCTGCAGCAGCTGCTGCTGCGGCTGCTTTTGCCGCATTGTATTCCTGCACCACGCGATCTTTCTCACTTTTCTGCAAATTCGAAAAGTGCACTTATAATTTTTGTTATTTTAACATTTCAGCTCGTTTGGTTACTTTTAGTAGATTTGTAAATGAGGAAGCCATCGACAGTGTTGCCAATAAGCGGTTCCTACTGACACTTGCTACCAGTCGAACTGCTTTCGAGTACCTTTGTTTTTTATAGTGAATGCATGAAGGGGTTTCGACTTTTGACAGTATCGTCATAATTCTAAAAAACAAAAAAAAAAAACTGGCCTTTTCTGTTCTCCACAAATATTGCACAAAAATTCGTTTTCGAAAGCCAAAAAGATCGACGCCAACTGAAATTATCGAAAAATACACATGGAAA